GGCAGAGTTAGTAAGGAGGACCAGAACCCCCTTACTGTTGCTATTGTCTGTCTGTTTAGCGGTGCCTTTAGTTTATTCTTGTTTTTTTTTTTTTTTTTATGTGTTCCATAATTTTTTTCTAAACTTCCTTCTGATTTCTAAACTTCTGATTTCTAAACTTTTCTAAACTTCTTTCTGATTTCTAAACTGCCTTCTGATTTTTATATGAGACAGTTTCTTTGTGTTTTAGTACAGTGAAGTAAACAAATGCATCAGAGGACAAACTGAAAACTTTAAACCAAGTGTTGTTTTGTTGGTACTGTTTAAAATATAAAGGAAATAGGTTTTTCAGGGAGCAAAGAGCTATTTCTGAGATTTGTTAAGGGTCAGGATATTTTGTTAAAACAGTGGAAGCTGAGTCTGGGGTAATTTTATCAGATAAAAGACTTCTTGGAAGGATGGACCCTGGGTGGCTTAGGGAAGTGGCAGGAAGGCTAGTCAGGCTTAGGAATCCAAGACATGCCACGGGACCCCTGATGCGGGGATGGCTGCGGCTGCCAGAACAAGCCCCTGGATGTGGCTGCTGGCATTGCTGCCATCATTGCTGGAATGAATTACAGACACTGCCCTGCTTCAGAGCGCGCAGGCCCAGGCCCAGAAGAAAGCTTCTGATTGGCCCAGCGTGGCTCAGCTCCGCCAGGACAGTTTGGGCACCTCAGCGGGCCTCACAATGCAAGGCAGGGCTGCCTCCCACCCAGCTCACAAAGGTGATCTCAGAAATTGGGTATCCCCCATGTCCCCACCAAAAGCACCCCAGATGGCAAAAATCCACTACAAAGATCTTTTTTAAAAAGAAAGCTTCTGAGAAGTTCCATCAAACGAAGAAAAGAAATGAAGGTGATCGATCACCATATTTGCTTTTTCATTATTTATTTATTTATTTATTTATTTATTTATTTATTTTTGAGACGGAGTCTCCAGTCGCCCAGGCTGGAGTGCAGTGGTGCAATCTCGGGTCACTGCAACCTCCGCCTCCCGGGTTCAAGTGATTCTCCTGCCTCAGCGTCCCTAGCAGCTGGGACTACTAGTGTGTACCTCCCCTC